GAAGGGAAGGGATGGAGCAAAGGAAGGTGAGGATGGCTGAAGGGCAGGGGGAGCCCCTGGGAAGGAGGCTCTGGAGAGGGAGGGATGGAAGGGGCTCCTGGGGCTCTCCTCTCTCAGGGGCTGAGGGCTGCCTTGCGCCTGCCTTCGCTGGCCTTGGAGGCATGGAGCTCTCCTTGGTGCTGAAAGGGACCCTTCATTCCCAAAGCGCATCCTGAAGCCTTTCCCCCCATGTTCACTCTCTTTGCAGCTAGAGTTTTCAACCCAGTAGGGAAAGATGCGCTCGATCCTTTCCTAGTTGCGCTCTCCAGATTTCTGGATGCCCCATTTCACCTTTGTGCGCCACTTGCGCGGCGCCTTCTTATTCCTCCGCCTTTTGCGCATTGTCCTTTCCAAGGAGTTGAAAGGGACCCTTCCCAAAAGGTGTCCTGAGAGCCCTTCCTCAACTGTCACTCTGTTGTTTGGGATGAGGAATTTTAAGTCCAATGGGGAAAGATGCACACAATCCCTTCCCAGTTGCGCTCTCCAGAGTCCTGACTTTTTGCCTTTATGTGCTGCTTTCCAAGGTGCTGAAAGGGACCTTTCCTAAGCGGTGCTCAGTGTCTCAAAGTCTGATTTTCCTGATCTTGCTTGACCTCCCTCGCAGGGTTGTTGTGAGACAAAAAAATGTGAGGCCAAGGAGCAGAGAGCTATGACTGCAACCTTGAGTTTTGTCAGAGGAGAAGCAGCATATAAATGAAATACGGTGATAATAATAATAATAATAATAATAATAATAATAATAATTGGCTGGCTTACAAAAACTAGGGCTGCATCTTTTGTTGTTGTTGGGTGCCTTCAAGTTGTTTGCAGTTTATGGCAACCCTATCACGGGGTTTTCTTGGCAAGTTTCTTCAGAGAGGTTTTTCTGCCATTGTCATCCTCTGAGTCTGAGAGAGTGTGACTTGCCTAAGGTCACCCAGTGAGTTTCCATGGCCAAGCTGGGATTTGAACTCTGGTCTCCAGATTCCTAGTCCAATTCTCAAAGCACTACACCATGCTGGCTCTACACTGTGTAATTAATGTAGTTGGAGATAGTTTTTGACTGCCATGACTCAGTGCTATGGAATTCTGGGATCTGGAGTTCTGTGAGATATTTAGTCTTCTCTGTCAGAGAGCTCTGTGGCCACAACAAACTACAAATCCCAGGATTCCATTGGATGGAGCCATGACAGTTAAAGTGGTGTCAAACTGCATTAATTATGCAGTGTGGCAGCAGCCTAGGTCTCTGCCCTTTGCCCAGTATAGGCATGAACCTCTCTCCTGAAGTCAACCATGTCTGTTGAATGTGTTATTGTGTTTTTCCAAATTATATTTATTGTATTTTATGAAACACTTGCAAAGTGTCATTTTAGACAATTGTAGTGGATAGCGTCGTGGGTTGAGTGTTGGACTAGGACTCTGGTTCGAATCAACCATGGAAACCCAGTGGGGGACCTTGGGCAAGCCACACTCTCTCAGCTTCAAAGGAAGACAAGGGACAACCCCTTCTGAAGAAAGCTTGCCAGGAAAACCCTAGGAAGGGGCCACAATAAGTTGGAGTCAATTTGAAGGCATATTTGTTGCTGCTGTGTGCCTTTGAGTCATTCCTGACTTAGATTTGCATATCTTGGGGGGTTTTCTTGGCACGTTTTTTTCTGATGAGGCTTGCCATTGCTATCCTCTGAGGCTGAGAGGGTGTGACTTGTCCAAAGTAGGTGTCCATGGCCAAGCTGGGATTCAGACTCATAGTCCAAGGAATATAAGAACTCCAAAACTGATGGGTTTTGATATTTACATCTGGTGATGTCCTGGCATTTTATTATGTAGATTGTTAGCTGTCTTGAGGAAGGGCAGATGAGCTATCAAATAAATCAAATCACGCTAGACGAGATCTTCTCCAGACTTCCTTTCCATGGCTTCCTGTGTGATTAAATCTCTTTGTTGCCTTGGGACAAGCCTTGGACAGTTGGCACTCTTTCATTTGCTCAATCTCCTTTCCCTTTTGCTAGCTTCAGAGAGCTTCCCTCATTCCACCCCAATTGCCTCTTGTCTTCTTTCATCTAGGCTAGTTGGGTCACTCCATCCCCAAGACTGCAATTCTGTAAGCGTCGAATGCAGTGATTCCCAAACTTTGTTCCCCCAGGTGTTTTGGAATTCATCTCCCAGAAGCCCCAGCCAGATTGGCCAACAGTCAGGAATTCTGGGAGCTGAAGTCCAAAACAGCTGGAGGACCGATGTTTGGGAGCCATCTGTCTAATGCATGCATTAAGTTCCCTTGTGGAAGTTGCTTGGACATATTTGTCCAGCAGAGAACCTCTCCTTTCCATCCAAGGCTGATGAAGCCAAGTTGCACAGGGGTTGCCTTTGCACATGGATGCACACTGAGCAATTGGTTGTGGGTGCAATGTGAGAGCTAGTGTGGTGTAGTGGTTTGGTGTAATGGTTTGAATATTAGACTATGACTCTGGAGACCAGGGTTTGCATCTTGGCTTGGCCATCTAAACCTCCTGGGTGTTGATAGGTTTTCATGGGTCTTTCGGGCTGTGAGGCTGTGCTCTAGAAGAGTGTATCCCTGCTGTTTCGCCTGCATCTGTGGCTGGTGACTTCAGAGATCTTCATTCCAGCCACAGATGCAGGCGCAATGTCAGGAATATACTCTTCCAGAACATGGCCTCACAGCCTGAAAAACTGACAAAAACCTATGGATGTTGGCCGTGAAAGCCTTCGACTTCACTCCTGGACATCCTTTAGCAAGTCACACTCTCTCAGCCTCAGAGGATGGCAATGGCGAACCCCCTCTGAAGAAACTTGCCAAGAAAACCCCATGATAAGCAAACCCCAAAGCAAGTCACACTCTCTCAGCCTCAGAGGATGGCAATGGCAAACCCGCTCTGAAGAAACTGGCCAAGAAAACCCCATGATAAGCAAACCCCAAAGCAAATCTTAGGGTCTCCATCAGTTGGAAATGACCTGAGGGCACACAACCATAAAGGATTGGAGAGCACCAATGAATACCAGTTGCCTTGGAGTTGCCATAAGTCAGAAAAGATTTGAAGGCACACAACAACAGCAACAACCACCACCACC